CATATGTATTTGTACATGCCACAAATATATCCACATATATAGTAGAGCAGACAGAGGGCAAAGTTATATATACTTCTTAGCCATAACCAAACACCTTGAGGGACTGAATCACTGGACTCAAGGGTATTAAGACTATAGTTTCAGGGGACATTTAGGTCAAATGGCTTAACATAGTCCATAAAGACAACACTCTAAATCCCACTTTAGTAACAACTGGGGTCTCAAAAGCCTATGAGCAGCCATCTAAGATACAACTATTGGTCTCTTCCCATATGGAGCAAAGGAGATGAAAAGAAATCAAAGTCTCAAGGAAACATTCAGTTCAGCGGATTACAGGATCCCATAAACCACAGCCTCTACTAGCCTGAGACCAGAAGAACTAGATTCTGCCAAGCTACTGCTCTGATCCAGAACAAAATACAAAGTCCTAGACAGAGTGGGAGAAAACTGTAGGACAAAATTCAGAATGATAAAAAAGACAGCATTCTGGTGGAACCACCAAGACTATAGCACTTAGAAACTCTTCAAATCTGGAACTGAACCCACTTTTCAGACAAACAACAGACAAGCCTAAATGAACAATAACACCCTTGAGGAATGTGCTCCTCAAAAGAATAAATTCTATGAGACCAAAAGGGTAGCACATTTGTGCAAACACAAAGTACAGAAGGCAGGAAAGGGCAGGAAAGATGGGAGAACGGAAATAGGGAACCTAGGAGGAAGTGAGAAGAGTGCTATTACACTGAAGGAATTGCAACTTATGCCACAAAATAAAATGTATAAAAATTACTGAATGGGAAATTGATGTTCTGTAAACTTTTACCCAAATAACACTAAATGTTGAAAATGTATCTCCTATCTCAACAGACTTCCTTGTTACAATTCACTGTATGTTGTTGTGGAGTTGGTTCTGACTCATAGCCACCCTGTACAGGGTTTCTGAGGCTGTAAGTCTTTATGGGAGCAGAAAGCCTCATCTTTCTCCAGCGGAACAGCTGGTAGTTTCGAACTGCTGACCTTGCAGTTTGCAGCCTGATTCATAACCACTATGCTATGGCAGTACCATATTTTGTTTATCCATTCACCTACTGAAAGACACTGGGTTGTACATTATCAATGTATAGGTTTTAATGTAACTGTAAGTTTTCATTTGTCTAGGATAGATACCTGGGATAACTGAGTCCATGTTTAACTGTATAGGAAAATAAAAACAATGAGATACGTAGTTGTGCCATTTTGCATTCCCACTAGCAATACAAGGGTAAGAAAAAAGTATTGCTACACAAGGGTTCCAGTTCATACATGCATGGGTTTATTCCAAACAAAATGTGTTTAAACATGTTTCTGTGATCAGTACATGGCTGCAAACAAGTCCTCTCAATAATGCACTTGTCTTAGTATCTTTGCTATTGTTGTTAAGTGCCGTCAAGTCGGTTCTGACACACAGCAACCCTGTATAGGGTTTAGCATCTGGTAAGCTTGAACCACCAATTTTGTGGTTCAAACTGACTTTGCACATTAACCCACAGCACCACACCAGGACTTAGTTGCTCTTGTTAGGTTCAATCGAGTTGGTACCAACTCATAGCGACCCTATGTACAACAGAACGAAACACTGCTCGATCCTGGGCCAGCCTCACAACTGTTGCCACGCTCGAGCCCACTGATGCTGCCGCTTGGCCAATCCATCTTGCTGGGGTCTTCCTCTTTTTCTCTGTCCCTCCACCTTACCAAACATAATAACCTTCTCCAGTGACTGGTCTGTCCTGACAATATGTCCAAAGTATGAGAGACGAAGTTTGGCCATCTTGGCCTCCAAGGAGCACTCTGGCTGCACTTCTTCCAAAACGGAGCTATTGGTTCTTTTGGCAGCCAATGGCACTTACATTATGATCCTCCAATACCATAACTCAAAAGTATCAATTCTTCTCCGATCTTCCTTATTCAACTGTCCAGCTTTCGCATCCATATGAGGTTATTGAAAATACCATGGCTTGGGTCAGGTGCACCTTAGTCCTCAAGCTGACATCTTTGCTCTTCAACACTTTAAAAAGGGCTTGTGCAGAAAATTTGCCTAATGCAATAGGTCATTTGATTGCTTTTTAGTGTGTCTTTAAAAAAAAACACAAAAAAACCAAGGTCCAGTCAAAACAGAAGTTTCTGAGGGATCTGTAGGGCCAGTTAAATTTAAGGCAGAAAGATCAGCTCAGAAGGTTGTGGTGACTGTGTTTTTGGATCCCAAAGGGGTAATCTTGATGGATTTTCTCAAAAGACACAAGATGATCGTGGCGGCGTCTGATGAGGGAGTTTCAAGAAAACTGAAAACTGCACTGGTGAGAAAAAAGCTAGGAAAAGTTGCACTGATTAATTTTTTTCCCATCAAAAATGCTTCTTGCTTATGCTTCAAGCGTAGCAAGAACTGTCCTACAAAATTACATTGGGAAACCTTACCCCATCCACATTACAACCCTGGCCTTCCCCCTTCAGACTTCTTTTTGTTACCAAAACACAAAGAATATTTAAAAGGAACACAATTTGTTTCACTCGAGAATGCTAAAACTGCTACTTTGACATGGAATAAATTGAAGAGCACGTAACTTTTTGCAGAAAGGTTAGAAAGATAGAAATGCTGCCTTCAAAAGTGTATAGACCTGGCTACAAAGGCAAGAAGTGACTGGCTTACAAGCTTTCAAGAGGGAACCTAGAGCCAGGGGGCATAGAGGAAGGCAGAATCTCCAGTGAGTAGTATCCAATCTACCTAGGCGGAACTGATGAAATGAAATGCAGATGGGTCTCTTGTGATACAACAGTGAATAATTGTTATCAGGACTGATTGTGAAGGCTGGAAATGTAAAGGTAGACGTTTTATAGGGAGGAAATAACTTTCCAGTCTAAGAGCGGAGGTCCCTAGGACCATCAGTGGAGAAGAGCCAAGAGCAGGACCCTACCCAAAGAAGCAGCGATGCCTGAGATGGAGGCAAAGACAATGACGTGGAGCGATGGAGCAGCTGGGGACTTTAGACCTAGAAAGGGAGAGCGACTGTGAGTTGAAGACTGGGGGTGGGGAGGACAGGAGGATAGTGTATAGGGGGCAGGCTTGCAGGGTATACCCTTTGGTCGGTTGATGATGCATGGAGGGGATTGTAACCATGGCAATGGTACAATGTACGATAGAATGAATGTAAAACTAATGTTCTCCCATGTAAACTATCATATAATTCACAATAAAATACTAAAAAAAAAAGTATATAGACCTGGATGAAGGATATTTTCAGAAATAGCAGTTTCACATTTTGATCATTTCTTTTAATAAAGGTTTCCATCATTTTGTAGCAATCCTTTCTGACTTACCCTCATACATGAGAATTTTAATTTTGCATCTGATTTGTTTCCACTTTCAGCACTGAAAATATGTTATTCTTCTTTCTTCTCACCTGTATGGTTAATGAGAAATCTACCATAATTCTACTCTTTGTTCCCTCATATGCAGTGTATATTGTTTATATCTCTAGGTGCTTTCAACATTTTTTGTTTCTAGCTTTCATCAAAGATGTTAATGTGTCTATAAGTGGTATTCTTTGAGTTTATCTACTGATCTTCTTAAGCTTGCCATTCTATTTCTTTCACCAAGCTTACCAAGTCATTATTCCTTCAACTTTATACAGCACCAAGCTCATTATCCTCTCCTCCTGGGACTCTAAAAGCATGGCAGTTAAGCCCCAGGCAGCATTTTCACTATTCCCATTAATTTTTTTCTCTCCATTGCTCTGACTGGATAATTTTTATTGCTCTATATTCAAGTTCACTGACATTCTTCTTGTCAACTACATTCTCTCAAGTTTACCCAAATATGTACTTTCATTCAGTCTTATGCTTTTTTTAATCTAGTATCTTTTTACACTTGTTTTAACCCTTTATTTTGAATCAATGGTTCAGAGTGATTCTATTTTTCTTTTTTCCTCTCAACCAATCTGCAAGCAATGGATATATTTAGTAAAACGGAATATACAGAATCAATCTTATTTTGATAATATAAAAAATAATGAAGGTAGCAGAAGACATGGGGAGGAATGCCAGTCAAAGTCAGTAGAGATAAATGCTATTAATTGATAGTACATAAAAGGAATTGCACTCACTGAAATGAAACTAAGTATATCATTTGTTGAATTAAAAAAAACCAAAAAACCAACGAAAGGTGAAATGGCAGTGCATAGACTTTAGCGTAACTATGCACTCAAAAATAATCCAGAAGGAATGAGATTCTAATTGTAGCTCCTGTCACTAACTTTTCTGTGTCTTTGTTTCCTCATTTATAAAATAAAGAAAGCTAGGTTAGTAAATTTAACATCCATTTCAGCATTCTAAGTATGCATTATATACACTTGGTAAGAACATCTAATTAATATCTTACTCTTTCAATGTGCTTTTCCATCTCTTTATGCTGTTCAAAATGAATTTTCTTTGCTTTTTCAAAGGCTAAACAAATTTTCTCATGCTCTGTATTGATATTGGTTTCTAGACTTCTTATCTTTTCATTCTTCTCCTAGAAACAGAGAAACCCTTTAAAGAATATAACTGAGTAAGCATTCTTACATAGAAATACATTAGTCAAATAATTAAATTTATCATAGTCTCTTCTTTTAAGAATCACAGCAGTTAATACTTCAGTTTTCAAAAATACTCAAAGTAGTCAAAATGGTTGTTTTAAAATATTTTATCAAAAATAGAAGATTAAATAATTTTTTAATAAGAAAATACTGAGAAGCACAACAAAGGACTACTACTACTTCTCATAGTTCTATTAGGATAAAATGAAAAAATTTGGATAACAACTTGCCATACAAGCCTATTCACTTGAAAAACAGAAACAAATAAAAATGATCAGAAGAATTCAGTATATTTTTAGAGAGTATATTTTTAAAGACAGTAAAAACAAGCATGTTATCACAAATTAAGTGACTAAAAGTCACAGTAAATGTGCAGTGAAAACTTTACCATAAGTTCCTGTTCTAGCTCTGCATTCTTTGCAGCAATACAGGAATAAGCAACTATTTTTTCTTCAAGCTGTTTCTCTAGTGTCAAAAGTTGAGAACATTTCTTTGTCATCTGAAAATAAATTGAAATTTTAAAAAATTTAAGGTAATGAATTTTTACTTTGAAATCAAATATTTGCTCTTCTTTTTAAATTTCAAATTGTATCTAGATAAACAGGCAAATTTATGGTAACAAATATTTAGGATGTAAAATGAATATAACCTTTATTATTGATGTTAAGTGCCATCAAGTCGATTCTGACCCATAACGACCCTGTATAGAACCTGCTGCTGTTGTTTTTGTGAAGTGCTGTTGAGTTGATTCCGACCCATAGCAACCCTGCATAGGGTTTCCAAGGAGCAACTGGTGAGCTTGAACCACTGACCTTGCAGTTCAAACGGCTTTGCAGTCTGGTGCATTAACCCAAAGCGCAACACCAGGACTCATAGAAACTTTAGATCCACATAAATTTAAGTACTTTTAAAAATCAGTAACAATTTGTAAGTAAAACATTTATATATATGTAAGTACTTTAATTCAGACCTCTATCTCCAAATAAAATCTAACCCATTTTTTTTTTTTAAGTAGCTGTTAAATACCATAAAAACCACAATGAGTCTAACTAAATGGTGATGGAATTATCAACGATTTATTTTCTTCTTTGTTCCGGTCCGTATTTTCAACAATTGGTTTGCTGCTAAGTACCGTCAAGTCAGTTCCAACTCATAGTGACTCTGTATAGAGTTTCTGAGGAGTGGTTGGTGGGTTTTAACTGCAATTCTTACAGTTAACATTCCAGTGCTTACCTGACAGCACAACACCAGGACTCTAGTTTCAACAATAAGACTGTGTTATATTCATAAATTTTTCAAGTTATTAATCTCAGTATTTGACAACTTTAAAAGTAAACAGGTGACTGTAATTATAAACTGATTCAATCTCCTGAGGTACAGACTTTAAGATGAGAAGTCAGACATTTAAAAAGTGTCCCCATAAGATTCTGCAGCCTTTGGTATAAAGGTTAAATATAGTATCTACATTTGTGGTCCTGTCCTCAGTGAACATGAAATTCAGATAGTTATAAGACATGTACTATGCTCTTTTCAGAATGTAGTCTATAGATTATATGATTCATATACAGTTATTTAAAAATTATTCCTAAATTATACCAGAATTACTCAATAACTGGAATGGAACCCAGAAACAACACATTTAAGTTTTCCCAGGTAATTCTGAAGTTAGATAAAATTTAAGTACCTTTAAGTCCTTGTGTGGCACTGTGTGATAAGGCGCTGGACTGCAAGGATGGTTTGCGGTTGCATGGTTGGTGGTTCAAACCCTCCAGCTGCTCCTTGGACACGCTATATAAAGTAGGAATTGACTTGATGGCACTTAACAGCAATAACTTTATCCTTACTCATGTAATTTAAATCCTCTATTACATTACTCTTTTTATTACTCATAATCCAAATTCTTTCCTTATATATATTATTTATTTTTAAGTGCCATTGAGTCGGTTCAGACTCATAATGACTCTGTATAGGGTTTCAGAAGCTGTAAATCTATGCAGAAATAAGAAAGTCTTATCTTTTTTCTGCAGAGTAGCTGGTGGCTCAAACCATGGCCTTGTGTTTTTCAGTCCAGTGCTTATCCTACAGAACCACCATGTTTCCATAAAGGTATACTACTCATATTAATTTACACCACAAAATAGAATATAATGCAGTAATAGTTCCATCGAATTTGAGATCTTTCAGTCACTAGAGAGTATACTACCTTTGTTATTGTTGTTGTTGTTAAGTGCCATCGAGTCGGTTCCGACCCATAGCGACCCTGTATAGAGTTTCGAGGAGTAGCTGGTGAGCTTGAACTGCCAACCGTGCAGTTCAAACGGCTTTGCAGTCTGGCGCATTAACCCACAGCGCTACACCATTCTACCTTTAAGTAGGTTAAAATTAAAAAATTTCCAAAAACAACTTTTAAAGAATTTTCACCTTATTTGGTATCACTTATTTTTTAAAAGAAAATTATATATCTGGACTTAAGGACACAAATTTTACAAAAACTTGCAGTAGCACCTTTTATCCTGTCTCAAACTATAGAACATATATACTACTAATTCCAAGCTTACTTCATTTTCCAGTTTGCTAGAATTTGAAGCTTTCTCCAGTAGCTCCTCTTGAATTAGCTGGAACTGGCTAGTTCTGTGGGCCATGTCAACCTTCAAATCAGAATTCTCAGCTTCTATTTGCATTAGTTTAATACGGAGCTCTTCTATTCCAGCAGCAAGTCTTTGTTTTTCTCTTTCATAATGTTTATTTTGATCTTTTGTCCTTTCTGCTAATACACATAAAAAGATAATTATTCTGGATAAAACATTAAGAACAAAAAACCTATTTCAACAGTTGACTAAAGAAAGAAAGTTCAGTTTCGGATCTAAAGAATATTTAAGGAGACAGAGAATAAAACAGTCAATAAAAATATAATTAAGAAACAGGGTAAACAAGGTGTTTTCTAAACCAAAAACGCAAGAAAGTGGGAATAAGTTCTACATCACTGATGACTTTTCTAAGTAGCTGAAAGGTGCTCCTTTCTATCAGAAATTTAGGTTCTTTCTTACCATTTAAACTTCCAACTTTTTGATACAAATCATTGAAAAATGTTACAAAGAAAAAAGTGGTGCTGTCTCCTTAAAATGAAATAATAAAATGTATTTGGAGAGAGAACAAACAAGAAGGCAGATGGGGTGGAAGTGCAGTGAGGAGCTCCGTCAGCAACAGCACAGATTACCAGACCAAGCAGGCTCAGGGGATGGTACCAGAACTCTGAACCACATATAAAGGAATATTTAGGAAGTTGAAAGGCTTACAGCTAGGAAAATTTGTAGCAGAAGCAAGAAATCCATTGCTTTCTAATTCAAGACACTTAGCTGTTCCTGGAGCCACCATCTTGGGCGAGATCAAACAGGGGAAGGATCAGAGCAGCCACGGACACCTGAGAGAACCGCAGAGATAAAGGTGTGGACATTCTTTTTTTTTGGTATCTGTTCTTGATCTCTCACTGTCTGTGCACCTCCATTCTGGTGACTAGAAGCAGTGCCTTGAGCAAGTGGACACCGTACCCCAGTCCCAGAGGGTTCTATTACATGTGTGCACAGATCTCCTTGAAATTTAAAGTAACAGTTTCCATTTAAAACCAAACGGCCTGTAAACTGATGATATATGGTGGGGATAATAATCAATGTAATGAAACAAGCTATATGAATGGTTGAATGTGAAGCTGATGATGTGCCCTGTAAACTTTCACTCAATGCAAAATAAAAACATTTAATTAAAAAAAAAACAAAAAAAAAAAAAACGGCCACAGCTTGCCCTGAACTGTCTATCAGTAGGAAAACGGCCTGAGCAGTGATTGTGGTTCGGGACAAGCAGATTAAAAGGGAAATAGGCCGAAAATTAAATCCTGAGTTACGCTATAAATACCAACAGTGACATCTTGAAATTTCTCAAGAAGAAGAGTGAAAAGGGAAGCCCATCTCCTAATCACATCGACATGGAGGAAATCAGAAACCATAAAAAATACCAAAATACACACCAATCTAAATATTAAGACCACAGATAACTCCTGAATATGCCCAAAAAACAAAAACAGATGACCATATCAGCTCATATCCAGAAACAAGATAAAGTGACTGAGGCAAATGAGCTGGAAGTAGACCTACACTCCGTACTGGAAGATGTGCAGGCCTTGGAAATGCCTGAGAAGAAATTCAGAAAAATGATTATTTCAAAACCTACAGAAAGAGGTCCAAAAGATTAATAATATAAGAAACAGACAATACACTGAAAGGGAAAAGGAATAGAATTGAAGAGAAAGAAGCCAGAATTAGTGAGCTAGAAGATAAATCTCTCAACACTACTAAGATAGAAGAACAAGCACAAAAATAGGATAAAATAATCTGAAGAAGGCCTAAGATTCATGTTGGACAACATAAAGAGGAATAACTTAAGAATTATTGGCATTCCAGAACAGGAGGAATCACACAAGTCCACAGAGACGATAATTGAAGAGTATCTGGAAGAAAATTTCCCTAACATCCTGAAAAGGGAAAAGATAACCATTCAAGAAATTCAATGAATCCCAAGAAGGACAGACCCTAAAAGACAATCACCAAGACATATAATAATCAAGCACTCCAAAATCAAAGATAAGGACAGAATACTGAAAGCAGCTATGGAAAAGAGAAGTGTAACATACAAAGGCAAGCAAATCAGATCTCTCACCAGAAACCGGGCAGGCAAGAAGGCAACAGGTAGATATCTATAAAACCCTGAAAGAAAAGAAAACTGCCAATGAAGAATGCGCTACCCAGCAAGCTGTCAATCAAATACAAAGGTATAATCAAAACATTCCAGGATAAACAGAAGCTAAGGGATTTTTCCAAAGCCAACCCTGCTATGAAAAACATCCTAAAGGAAGTTCTGTGGACTGAGAACCAACATGAACAGACAACAACTAGAGAATGACATATGTGGCAACGAACTCAATCGACAAATGGAGGAGACAAGAACAGAATAAAATTTTAAGAACACAGGATCTGGGAGGTCAGTCTATGATCAAACAATTAAAATATGAAAGAAGGAAAACACAGAGGAACAGAGATCCAAGTGGTGGAAAGGTCAGGTAGATTACAGGATAAAATAGACTGTCTTAAATGGAGGGAAGAACTAATAGAATATAAGATAAGCACAACAATAGGGTTGGGGTGGGGGGTTTAGTTTGGGTGTTGGGGAGGGCAATTCAAGAAGGGGGAGGAGGCACAAGAAAAAGATAGATAGGGGAATACTGAGACAGGTTTGCATGACCTAAGTGGGACAGAGGTAAATAGTGGTGTATGCTCAACCTTGGAACAACAGGGCTCTGGGACACAGAGATCTAGGTATAGCTTGAAGAGGGTAAATAATACTAAAATCCTTGACTGCCTTAAGAATATTAGTTTCCTTTGTCTACTATTGTAAAATAGACACTTACGTGGGATAGAAAAGAATGTTGGGAAACATGATTAGAGAAAACTTGTAAGCCCGCCTTTAGCCTATAACTGATTAGAATACCTAAAAGGGATTCTAGAACTTGCCCAGTGAAATAGGCCTCTTGCAAAGCCTTTGCAGAGTACAGGGCATTAGGTGGAATCCTGAGTCCCATCTAGAACCTTATGAGGTGGAACATTCCCATGAGAATGGACAAGCAGACCAACCTGGAACATCTACAGTGACAGAAGATACATCTTCAAAGAAAGATCATCAGGAAAAAACCCAAAACAAAAATGTCAGCATGACTGGCTACTACAAGAATTAGCAAGCAAGCTGTTTGCCAGGAAGCCATCAAGGCAAGCAATCAAGTTCCTTCAGGACAAACTCCCCTCTAAGACTGAAACTCAAAGGGAACACACAAACATGTATGTAAGTTTGCTGGTGACCACATTGGTCTACTGGTAAGTGGAAGAGAGGGAAAGGCAGCAATGAAGAAATGGGCTGAGTTCAACCACAGTCCATTGACTCCCATTGACTTGGAGATCAAAGAGAGAAGAGGAAGGGCTGGTTGGTCCAAAGTGTGGTGAGACCTGAGGACACTTGAGCCCATCGGAAAGGACGTAGCCACAGAAGGCTAGAGCTGAGAGTGGAGCATCCAGCAGATATGAAGTGAGGGAAGACGCACAAGAACACCCAAACTTGCCGACAGTACCCATTTAATCTAGCCTTGGTGGCTTGATAATCAGAACTGGACTAGAGGCAGTTTACAAAAAAAAAAAAAAAAAAAAAAAAAAAAAAAAAAAAAAAAAAAAAAAAATTTTTTTTTTTTTTTTGGATAAAGGAAACAAGGGTAAATTGCTACAATCTGATGAACCTGACCTATACTCAGAGAGGCAGTGACTCTAAATACCAACAGAGAGAGAAAGAGTCTTTATATCAAGTATCAATGCTATTCCCTCTGTACACAGGGTAGATAGGGACGGGAAACTTGGACACTGGCTACTTAAAATGAGGGGGCGATAAAGGCATGAAGTGGCTGGCTTACAAGGTTTCAAGAGGGAGTTTAGTTTAAGAGTATGGGGGAAAAAAAAGAGTCCCCACTGAACAGATTTCATCTTGTCTAGATGGGTCTGGTAAAACAAGATTGGGATAAGATTCATACAATTCAATAGTGAATAACTGTTATCACGACTAATTGTGACTGTCACAATTGTGAAGGTAGCAGTTTTGTAACAAAAATAGGGGAGGAAAACAAACAAGATGACAGATCGGGTGGAAGTGCAGTGAAGAGCTCCACCAACAATGACCAAGCAGGCTAAGGGGATGATCCCAGAACTCTGAACCACATATAAAATAATATTTAGAAGGTTGGAAGGCTTACAGCTGGGGGAATTTGTGGCACAAGCAAGAAATCTATTGCTTTCTAGTCCGGGATACTCATCTGCTCCAGGAGCCGCCATCTTGGGTGAGACCATGTGGGGGAAGGATCGGAGTAGCCACAGACACCTGGCAGAATCGCAGAGATACAGGTGTGAACATTATTTTCTTTTGTATCTATTCATTGGTCCCTTGCTGTCCGTGCACCTCCATTCTGGTGACTATAGGGGTGCCTGAGCTAATGGACACCCCAGCCCCACCCTCAGAGGGTTCTACTACGCATGCTCACAGATCTCCTCAAAATTTAAACAGATAGTTTCCAATTAAAACCAAATGGCCACAGCCGGCCCTGAACTGTTTACAACTACAAAAAAGGCCTGAACGGGGATTGTGGAGCGGGACAAGCAGACAAAAAAGAAAATATACTTAAAATTAAATCCTAAATTACGTCAAAATGACCAACAGTGGCATCTTGAAATTTCTCAAGAAGAAGAGTGAAAAGGGAAGCCCATTTCCTAATCACATCTACCTGGAGGCAATCAGAAAGCATAAAAAATACCAAAATACATACACATCTAAGTATTAAGGCCACAGACGGAATATGCCTAAAAAACAGAAGCAGATGACGATATCAGCTCATGTCCAGAGACAAGATAAAGTGACTGAGGCAAATGAGCTGCAAGTAGACATACACTCCGTACTGGAAGATGGGCAGGCTTTGGAAATGTCAGAGAAGGAATTCAGAAATATGATTATAAAATGTATCAAAACACTATACAATAGAGTTGAGAAAAATAAGGAAGAAGTCAGGAAAGCGCTACAGGAACAATTAAATAAGATAGATACAACACTGGAAACAATCCAAAATCTACAGAATGAGGTCCAAACAATTAATAATAGAATAACAGAAATGGACAATACACTGAAAGGGAA